AATTCGTCCAGGGTGTCAGGTCTACCCATTAGACAAGACCCTCTGTCTATGGGGTTGGTCCACGTGTTGGACTGTTTCGTAATAAACAGCCTAAATGTTTCCATTATTCCCTCTGATCAGTCACAACGGGTCTCTCATTCGTTTTAACGTCGAAAATATTTCCAACATTCAAAAAACCGATTTATGCGAATTTTTCCATTTTTTCCTTCAAAACATCCACTAAAAAAAAAGCGTTCATTCCCCAATGAAAAATCGTACATTTTTCTCAAAATAATTAATAATTAATCGGCCGTCTAGATCTGATTGCCAAACGAAAATGAAAATGAAAATTAATACGCTCAAATTAAGATTGAAATTAAATTAACGAGCTGGACTTTTTCATTCTTTTAATTTGTTATTATTTTTTTTCTGATAGAGACAGGGGGTGGGGGATTTAAAAATCGACTGCTGCACCTGTCGTTTGTGGATAATTTTTTTGCTATTGTATCCTCCGGCTTTGTCGACTGCGAGAGTAGATATTAGACGTGCTCTACCTAGTCATTACGATTCATTTTTTTTCACTTGTAGTATAAAAGTTTGTTTCGTTACTTTAGGGTTTTTAATGGGTTTATCTGAGGGATCTGTAGGCGTGCAATATGGCATGAGGGAAACGGACGTCCTGGTAGTGTATTCCATGTTGATATTAATTATTATAGTTTTTATCCTCGAGACATTTGTTTGGAAAAATAATTCCTGTTTCATTAGTAGCAAAAATCTTTAGTGAGAACATCTAGAATAAATATAGATAGATCTTTATTTTTTGTACTATTATATAAAATTATTGCACATTATATTACATTATATTATATTATATTATTACATATTTCGATAAGAAATGTGTGATAATATAAAGAGATATCAAACTATTAAGATTAATTCAGAATTTTAAGTGATATGAGTCTGTTATCATGGTACATGTCTAGTACCAAAAATTTCACAGGTTTCGTCTTTTGTTATTTAATTTCTTGTTGTAATTTATTGTTATGCTGACACCAGTTTTTTCTTTTTCTAACTTTTTCTATTTTTCCTAGTCATATACGCAATTTATATGCACATTATTCGCTACACTGAGAGAAATATTCAATAAAAATTACGTGTATTTTCCGTAATTCTGGAGCGAAATGTGGTTGTCGGAAATTTTACGGAACTGTCACGTAATTTTTATCTAATGTCACGGAATTTTTCCGCGGTGTTCCGTAATTTTTATCTGAATTATCGGTGAAAAATAACGATACCGTCACTTAAATTTTTCGAATCAACTCCGTAATCGGTAAGTGAACTGAAAGTTCCGTAATTTTTACTAAATATTTCTCTCCATGTAGTATCTCTATAAAATTTTTTCTCTACATTAACTAGACTCGTGTCTCTTTCGATTGCCTCCATCAGATTATATCTATTTCATTCCGCGCTCTCATCATCAGTTCCCAGCCTATCACATCCTCCAATTACTCCGTATTGGTACCACAATATCCAGAATATTTACATTGACAACTAGCAATAATTTTTCATTTTTTCCTGTAGTCGAGTTTTCCTGAAAACTCGTTAAAATTGAGGAAAGATTTGCGTAAAAATGTCAAATTGAGGAAAGATTTGCGTAAAAATTTCAGTCAGTTTCTCCTATACGATTCGATAATTCGTCGCATGTCGTAGTGACATGACCACCGCAATTAATGAATGTAGTTGAAAATTTATCTTTTGTCTCTGAAAACGATAAGAGAGAGGAGTCGTGACGTTGATAAAACGAGCTCTTAGCATCACTCATAAAAATGATCATCGCATTCGCTCCGAGTGGTTAATTTATTTTAGTGTGTCAACTATCAGCGGAAAAAGTACACCCACGGGGTACGTATGTTTGTACTAATAAATATTCGCGATATTAATGGAGAGTCTGTTGGGGGAAAGAGGAAATATTGAGTCTTGCATGATTTATCAAGGCTGCATGCAGCTCAATTCTCATGCGTGCTAATGCTCCTGTCATTACGTATGCACGTGTTAAAAGGCATCACTGGTATATCGAACGTTACGAAACAATTTTATTGTCTCTAGAAGACAAGGCCTAACAGAAATTACCACATGCCGCTCCCTGGACCTGCCATTCATACAGGAAAATTCATAAAATACAATCAATTAAGTTATTTAATGTATGTATCATTACATAAACTGTTATGTACTCCTAATGTGCTCATTAAATATCAATTACACATCGTGACAAATTTTTTTATCTCAACCCAGTGAATTTCCGGGGCAGTATCTCCGGGTTTATTAGAGATTACGTAATTTTACGTACAATTTTTTTTGCAGAGAGCAATGGCAACTGCAAAATTTAATTACGCAAAAGGCAATTACGAAAATTTCCGTATGTTTTTTAGGTTCGGAGATATTCCTCGATAATTTGTCGATTTATTGGAATTTTAAATTACGAGTTTTTTTGGAATTTCAGGGAGAATTGAATATGATGGAAATTTTTGGAAAAGCCACTTCTAATTTTAC